TACTCAACCACTTCTGGTCACACGGCCTACGTCTGCAATAGTCACAACTAAGGGAAGAGAAGGAATATGAACCTCTTTTCCATCATCTAACATAGTAGCATTGTATTTATAGGGAATAACTTTATCTGATACATATGGTACCGGGTCAGGAAAACGGATGACCAAAGGTGTCACAGAAGATTTCTGACTATTGTAAGAAGTAACAACTTGCTCAGGGATGTTGAAACGTGGAACTATGACATTCACCTCATTCTCAACTTCATTTTCGTTTGCAGTAACCTGAATCAAATTATGATCAATCATCTTTTGTAAATCCTTATTTACAACCACACACCCACGGGGGTTCACAAAACAAATACAACAGGCGGCATAATCATGCTCAATATCATGTTATTCGCTCAAAGTAGCATGCATATCAACAAGTGACCTCTGAATCCAACGAATATAAAAAATACAGTATGTACCAGGACACCCATATACCATATTTACAGTCGTGTTGCCATGCTTAGGCAACAAATTTGATTGCACATTGGGATTGGTATCTTCAAAAAACAAAATACCACTTTCTATAAGCTTTACCACTTTGTATTTCAAAAGATAGCAATTTTCAATATCGTGCCCAGGGGCGCTCTGATGAAATGCACAACGGGCCTCTGGCTTATACCATCATGGGATATCTGTAGGAACATCCGACGGATCACGAGTCTGAACCAAATTCTTCTTTATCAAAGCCAAAAATAATTCAGTATACGACATTGGAATGGGATCAAATTGTGCTTTCTTCTGCACACGACCTTGGTGACTATTTTGTTGTGTTTTCAATTGGAACCGTGGTTGATAATTAGATGTAGCTTGAGCGGCACTGATGACGGGCGTAATAAAAGCTACTTGCTGCTGATGATGATTACGTCTTCTAGACCTCTCTTGAGAGATGGCATTGGTTTATCCGTCCTTTTTCTTAGAAAAACTAGCACCAAACTTCATCGCACTTCTAGAACCACCTTCCTTTGTCAGACATCCGTTCTACCGCAAACAGGTAACGCCTAAGTCTCCAATGAGCGAGCAACAATACACCTAAACTGCTAGAATACGTTACGTTAACATCATCCACAAAAACACCGGTTAACGAGTTTCACGAACTACATTTCTCTAATTTCTCATACCATATGAGAATACGTAGGCACAAGACGACGATGTCTTGGCAAGCACCCCTTTTTTTCTTTTATCTGTAGTTAGCCAAACTACGTCTGCTCTGATTCTTTACTTCTTTTAAGTAGAGATACATAGGCACAAGGGCCACAATATTTTCCGAGCACACTTTTCCATCTATACCTGTCGTCCCCCGAACTACGTCGACTCTGACTTTCTCATATTTGTTGAGAATACGTAGGCCTAGGACCACGGAGTCCTACCGAGTCTCTTTTTTTCCCCTGTTCTCTCTTTTCCCTGTTTCTAGCTCTTCTCTCTTTACCCCTAGGAACACCCATAGAAAGCAATATATTTTAGCAGATACCTTCACACGCAGACAAATAAATGGTTCCCATCGAGTACGATGGATGCGAGGGGTGTTAATACCTTCCCTTCGCATAACCGGCTTCCGAACCCGTTTCTTTTATCGCAAGATCATCTTATTTGTTTCTTTCCTTAGGGTTTTCTCGATGTTTTCCCTTCCCCTCATGGGATAAATAAAGTTCGGTGGCGACTCTTCTGTCTTTCTTCTCGCCTCCCCGTCGTTGCACGAGATTTTTCGAGTAGCGACAAGTTAGAATGTATTGTTTCTTAATACAATTGTGAGATTCCTCTGTTGCAATTGACCAACACTCAGCGAATTATTTCCCAATCCTGGTATATAGTACACACCTGTGATCACTTGGATCCTTCCTTTAAAGCATAACTTTACATTTCCTCCCCTCATAACAACCATTTTTTAATCATTTCCAAGTCTCACAGATTCTCTAAACTTGTCATCAATATCAAAGAACCACTATTTGGTCCCCACCATGTGATTACTACAACCACTATCAATATACCATGTTTCTTCCATGAATTCTTTATTCTCTTAAGAATATACCATGAAGAGTATCTCTTCTTCTTTGAACTTGACGTAGTTGGCATTATCCTCCCAATCAGGACATTCATTGTGTTAGTGTCCAAGCTTATGGCACTTATAGAATTCTATAAATTCTCTACTTTGTCTTCCTCTACCACGACCTCTTGAGACGTTTCTTCCTTTACCTCTACCAACATTGCTTATCTTGAGAGCATGTTCCTCACTATGATCCTTTTTCCCTTGCATTCTTTTTCATAAACAAGAAGATTACTCTGAAGCTCATCAATTGATATAGTTGTTACATCATTGGATTCCTCGATGGAGCACACCACGTAATTGAATTTTGCAGGCATGAACCTCAAGATTTCCTCTACCGACGCTACATGTTCCATTCTTTCTCCTTGTGCGATCATTCGATTTGCAATAGCTAGGATTCTTGCAAAGTAATCAATGACGGATTCGCCTTCCCCATTGCAAGTACCTCAAATTCACGTCGCAAATATTGCAAATGCGTCTGTTTCATCTTCGTGGAACCTTGATACTTCCGTCAATGGAGTGAAAAAAGATAATTCTTGGCCTTCAAATCACATAATTTGCTCTCATCCACTGTCTTTCGTTGTTTTGGTGTGGCATCAGCCGAAGCTGTGATGATGTCTGTTTCAATCAAACTCTAATACTCCTTGGAGTGGAGAAAATTCTCCATCAACACAAACCAATGTTCATAATAGCCATTGAATTTAGGGATCGCTGGATGGGTGAAATTGGAAGACTCCGCCATAGAGACGTTGAAGATAATGAAAATTATCAGAGAGAAAAAATGGTAGTCGTAACAGAAAAAAAAAACTACAATTTTTAGGGAACTCAAGGCCTTTGGATCTGGACCTCACTGATACCACTTGTTGTGTAAAAATGTTCCAGCTTGTATTACATTCACAATACAGTTCTCTTGTATAAGCTACAATCAAGAATACTAATACATGACAATGGACCTAGATCAAAGGCCAGACTTATAAGCTCTAACACAAAGTTAATCCTCAATAAGATCAAAGGTTAAACTTCACATTTTTACCCACACTAACTAGATTTCACATACTAGACTTTAATTAAAAAATCACTTAATTAATAAAAGAATTTATTTATTCACCCTATCAAAACTAGTATACTTTTGTGCGGATATGTAGCCAATTTTAAAGAATCTTTTTGTAATGATGCATGAGAAGTTGGCTTTCCACTATTCAACGTTGTTATCATTATTTGTAGAAGTCATTTTTATTAAGATATTATACCATTTTTCTACTTTACTTTCTTTCTTTCTTTATGTGACCCACTTCCTTTTATTTAGATTAATTAGAATATATGATATGAATGGTTGCATGCATAAAGAGAAAAGCAGTGGATTATTCTCACTTTTGGCTTTAGATGAGTGTGTGGAAGCATCCAATACAATTTTGAATTGATATCCTAAATGCATTGAACTCGTCAATTTTCGAGTGAAAACAAGAGATTGTATATCGATTCAATCAACATATGTAGTTTTTGTCAAAAGAAGTGTTGTAGTTGGTGAAAATGTAGCGGAAAGGTTACATTTCTACTAACCATATCACCCAATTGATTCAAGATACTTAATGAAAATTTTAAAATTATTATACTACTTTTTATCATCTAATTTTATACATTTTTTGAGCTATATAATAAAATAAATTATTTATTATATTTAAATAATTTGAGAATTATATTAAAAAGTGAGTAGTATTTTATTAAGAATTATATTAAAAAGGGAGTAGTATTTTAGAAACTTGATTTAAAATTATTCATTAAATATATCTACTTTTATTCATGTATAAACAATAATAACAATTTGTATAACCAAACTAAAATAGACAAGATATTAAAATCAAAATTATATATAATTTCTCAAATGAAAAACAATACATAATATATTAATGTAATATTAACTTTATTTTTATTATAAATTTATAAAATTTTAAAACAAATAATTAACTTTACCATAAATATAATGTCATTGAATGAAAACAGATTTGTTAAACCATATTAATAATTAAAAAGATTGATAAAAGCATATGAACATTTGATAAAGATAAAACTCTAAAAATACAGCATTGAGAAACTTCACGTAGTCATTGGGATTCAGAAACTTCATCTAGTCATTAGATACACACAATAGACATTAAACAATTTTTTTGTTAATGTTCATCTCACAAAAAATTAAAAAAAATAAGACAGGATAAAACAATCACATTAAAAAATATGACAGTATAAAAAGTCTTAAGTGATAAAATAAAATCAATAAATAAAGTGCAAAGATCGGTTAATACATCTCAAAATTTAATGTCTCAAAATGGTTAATATTATTATTTATCTTATTGGTTAATGAAATAATAGAAATTGTTAATAAATTATTTATTTTATTGATTAATGTAATGATAAAATTGATTAATGAAATAATCTTATATTTATATTTATGTTAAAGTATATATTTTTAAATAACTTTTTATTCAAAAAAATTGCGAAAAAAATATTATTCCCCATATTTTATAAGATAAAAAGTGTTTTGTTTAAATATTAGTATATAACATATTATTATAATTAGAAAATAATCCAGAATAGAATAAGATTTTCAAATATTTTAATATAATGCTTAAATAAATAATTAATCTAACATAATTTTTCATTTTTATCAAACCGAATGAGTTGTTACTAATATTTGATTTTTTTTGTGTGTTTTTATTTTTCTTAATTAAGACATTGTGTTGAAATTTCTTTAATAAATTAAGATAAATATTCTACTAAAGAATGAATTGCCCTTATTTTCTTCTTCTATAAATGCTTTATTAAAAAATAAATTGATGTTTCTTTTGTGAAATTTCTTGTTTCAACTCACAGGACCAAAATATGAGATATTATGTAAAAACAATTGTTGAGACACACTCTATTTATAGAACTCCATAACCACTAATCCAGACACAGAACATACATGTTTGACACCACTAAACCCAGATCCTTTTGCCAATTCCTCAAATTCATTCTCATTTCTCTCTTTTCCTCCTGGGTTTTGTGTCAACATTATAAGATCTGACATGTAACCAGTCTTAGCAACTGCATTTGTTTCTGGCAATATAGGAAGAACTGCATCCACCACAATAACCTTTCCATCTTCAGGAATTGCTTTGTAACAATTTTTCAACAGCTTCAAACAATGTTCATCGCTCCAATCATGAAGTATCCACTGAAACATCAATTTTAATTAATGATTATAGCAACTGCATAATAATTGAAATAAATAATAATAAAGTAAACCCCACCTTCATAAAAATTGCATCTCCGGACGGTACACTTTCAAACATATCTCCTCCCACATGTTCCACGTCTGTAACAATAAAATATGATTCAGATACATTAATTATTCAATAAATTTAAAATATAATGTATAAAGTATGAACGGATTAATTAATACCTGGGTAGGAAGGTGCATGTTCTACAACATGAGGCAAATCGAAATTAATTCCTTTAATATGAGAATATTTTGATATAATTAATTTGAGATTAATTCCAAGACCACCACCAACATCGACGAGCTTATTTATATTCTCAAAACCGTTATAACAATTAAGAACCATCTTCATATTTATCGTAGTTGTGCAAACCATAGCTTTGTTGAAAACCTCATTGAACTTTGGATCGACACGTGGATACTCAAATGCATTCATTCCATGAACCCTATCGAACGGTACACCTCCTTCCATAATCGCTCCCTTCAATTCACTCCTAAATAATAAATCAGATACATTAGTTATTCAATAAATTTAAAAAGTACGAGTCATAATAACAATAAGAGTGGTTCTTAACTAACCAGCTCTGATAGAAGACGTTGTCGAGAAGCAATGCTAATGTTGGTCCCAATGAGACGCCATCGGAATCGGGGACAAAAAACCTGGCCCGATTAGAGAGGCTATAGAATCTTTGAAGGCTTTTAGGATGTTGAGGAACGGATGAGTTTAGAATAGAGTGACTTGACAAGAAGCAAAGAACACGATCCAACATTGTTGGTCCTTCTGGATTTTTGGTTCCAATCTGAATAGCAATGTCTTGTGCAGAGAGTTCTGCGCCATCGCCAGCTTTGGCTAGGATGTCAAAAACACCAAGATCAATGGCTGTTCTTAAAGCGAATGGAAGAACAATTGAACCTGTTACCTGGGTGCAAAATTCGAGGGCATCATCGTGATTTCCATTAGAATGTTGGTTATTAGGAGCCATGTGAATATGTAGTATGGTTTTGTTTTGAGTTTTTCTTGTTCTTGTGATCTTATGATGTTACTTATATAGAGAGGAGGAGAGGGAGAGGCGTAAACAATGTGTATTGTAAGTTGTTTGGAAAATACTAAAATAAAACATGCGACACTGCTACCTTAGATTTTAATAGCTTCGTGGAAAATAGTAACGTATTTTTAAAATAAAATGACTTTTTTAACCTTTTAAAAATTGTCTCTAAGATAGTAGTTAATATTTCCCTTATTAGTATGCACATGGGTCATGGGTGGCGTAGCATTAGCTGATATTAATGTTTGTATTACTAAAAGTGCAATGTGATTAGTGTGTTAAGTACTATGATCCTTCTCGAAACCAGAGAGTAATGTCTTGTTCCTCGATCTAGGTATGGTAACTGAGTGGAGCAGCACAGGGCGGGGGCGGTATTTAGCATATTCTTCTCTACCTTCCAAAATGTGTTTACTTTTTTTTTTTTTAATAGTTTTTTATTCTCTTTTTCATATTAAAAACTAATAATTAAATCAAATAACAATTTTTAGAATAAATTAATTATATAATACAAATTTTAAAAAATTCAAATTTAAATACTAAGTCATTGTTTAATACTACATTTGTTTTTTTTTATAAGAAACAACTTATTTTTTTAAGTTCATTATTGAATCAATGTATCTAGTCTATAAACGGACCAAATATATTGATTATTCAATAAATCTAAAAAATAAGTTGTCTCTTATATAAAGGAACGAAGATAATATTCTTTTTTATTCTGTATCTTTTGTTGGGGTTCATATTGCTCCTTTAATTTTAAAAATGATGAGTTTGATTTCTCGGTTTACTAATTGTTTCAAGTATATCCTTATGAACCATATTACTTAAATGTTGTTAATTTTCTTTAACGATTTGTTTTGGTCAACAAGACGTGGCTTTCATGTAAGATCGTGCGTTATAAATATTGAAAGCTCACATTAAAATCATTTTGCGCCAATTTAAATGTTCTTCTTCTTTAAACTATGAAACTAGGGTTCGTTGTTCGTTTTCCTCAACCTTTATCAAATACACATTCTATAACTAAAGTTCTTATTCTTCAACTTTAGAATTTAGGATTTATAGTACGAATTAGGATATCTTCCTTTCCGGAATGAAGTAAAAGAATGATGGTGGAGAAGACAGAAGTTTTTTTGAATCTAGGGATTATTCATTTTCAAAAAAGAAGCAATTGGGTCTTAGTTGTTTATGTGAAAATCTGGTTGTCCTTAGAAGGGAAACAACAAATAATAATTTTGGAAAGCAATTATGGAGATGTCAATACTATAAGCTATGATTTCTTTTCTATCGTTCAATATTAGTTGGACACAATGTTTTTGATGTCTATACTTAGCTGTTTTCGTGTAATTTTTTCGAAATTCACCTAGAGGATTAAGAAAAATGGATGTGATTATTTTGCTTCGTATTATGATGAAGTGAAAGATGATAAAGACATATTTATCATGAAGCAAAAAAAGAGATTGAAAATGTTAGAAAAAGAAAATGAAGATCAAAATCTTAAATTAGTTCGATGTGAAGGAAAAATTGAAAGACAAACAGTCGAAATTGATGCACAAAAGCAAGAGTTAGAAGACCTTCAAGTGACTCCCAAGAACACAATGAAGTGGAAGAATTTGAGGAAGATTTTATGTTTATTAGTTATAAGTGTTTTAATGTACAAATTGATAATGTAATTTTAGATGAATGAAATCGAATTCAAGTTTATGTTATCCGTGAGTTGATTTTGTAATGAAGTTTTAGATGAATGAAATGGAATTCAAGTTTTAATGTTTACATGTTAATACATGTTTATGATATACTATTTTTATGGTACATCAAGTTGACACTAATTTGACAGAGAAAATATTGTTCTAGTTTCATTTGAACATCAATTTGACATCAATTTAGTTGAATTGGATGCATCATTCTTTTATTGGTTGCATCTTTATTGAATCATTAAATGCTAATTAGTAATCAATCTTGTATCAGTAAACATACACACACACACACACATACATATATATATATATATATATATATATATATATATATATATATATATATATATATATATATATATATATATATATATATATATATATATATATATATATATATATATAGAGAGAGAGAGAGAGAGAGAGAGAGAGAGAGAGAGATAAAAGTAAAATTCATTAATTAATTACCAAGTCCATAAAGGATAGAGTACCAAAAGGTATATTAATACATCAAAAGGACACCTAACTTAACAAAATACCAATACATCATAAAATAGTTTCAAAAGACATCTAACTTAACAAAGTTTCAGAAGACATCATTACAACATCCATAAACCAAAACAATAATCCTAAACCAAAACACAATTTTTAATGGCATCTAATTTATCTTCTTTCTTGTTTAAGATGTACTAAGTCTAATTATAGAATCTGAGAAATTCCCTGTTGCACTTAACTTGGTTGTAGGATCTACTGATTCAACACTTATGGTTGGTCTCTTTATGCTTAACTTCTTGACAACACATCTTGGTCCAACTGACTTTGCAAGACTTATCTTAGCAGGTTTTGATCCAGTAGCCTCTACAGGTCTTAGTCCACTTGCTTGTGCGTGTCTTGGTCTACTTGCCACAATATTTCTTGATTAACTAGCTTGTGTTGGTCTTACTCCACCCGTCTTAGTAGGTCTTCTTCCACTTACCTGAGTTGATTGAGGTTGATTGAGTTGAGGTTGAAATTTTGTTGTTTGTGATTAAATTCCATGAGTTTGACCTTGTGTTTCCTGTGCTTTTTGAATAGATTGGTCCTGACTTGCTTGAGGTTGAATCTTATGAGATTCCTTGTTATGGCCACTTTTCTCACACCTACTACACTTAACATATAAATATGTCCTCCTTATTTTACGATCAATGCCATCAATTTCTCCTTGCTCTAGGTTCTTTTTCTTTTTGGGCTTGCCTGTAACTTTTTTGAAGACAAGTGGCTGGACATCAAGATTTTTGTATTTTAATCTTGTAATGTGTACTATTTATCTTACAAAAAAATTACAGTTGTCTAAGAGCTTCTGAATAAAGTTGTTGAAGCATGTTTAGAAAAATCATGGGCATGGTTGAGATATTTCAGAACTTAAGTCTTTAGAGTCTTGACATTGTTCCTCAGAACCTGGTCTTCAGAGTCTTCAAAACTTGTTCTTCACAATCTACAAAACTTGAGCGCAAAATCTTGAAGGTAAACAAGCCTTCAGAGGCTCTTTAGAGCCACATTCAGAAGCTTTAGCACGAACGTTCTTCATAACAGTTGTCTAAGAGCTTTCCAGAACTTGACAGCATCTTGTGAAGCACTTGTATATCTTCAGAGTCAGAGCGTGTTGATTCCTAAATCTGATGACGTCACACGTCAATGCTTCAGAGTCAGAACTTGCTTAGCAAAAGCTACACACTAGACAAAAATCATTAATGTACAAAATTGTTCTTTAAGAATCAATGCATTGTTATCATCAAAACTAGAGGTCAGATGCATATCCAAATCTTGGTCTAACAGTTATATTATTCCATAATTCATATACTTCTGTAATTGTCCAAACACTTGAGAGATTCTTTGAGTAAATGTGAGAGAGGTCTTAGATTCAGGGGGAACCTGAATCAAAGTTCATGGGTAGTATTAGGAAAATAGACATTGAGTTAGGAGAGTTGAAATCAGAGAAATTTTTACATTTTACTATTAAGAGTGAATTTCATTCATTGGGTTAACGTTCTCCAGACGTAGGTCGTTTTGCACTGAACTGGGTTACCAGTTCCTGTGTTATTTATATCCTGTATTTATCATGTCTATTACACATTATAATTGGCATACACATTATTTCAACATTGTGACTGACATCTTGTTATCCATATAATAAAATTTCACCCTTGAAAGAGAAAATAAAAACCCGCTCGAAGAAATAGAAAACTTAGGAGAAACAAAATATTTTAATAAAATCTTCCTCTTCTTATAAAGATAAGGTTAAATCTACCAAGTGTGAACAATGTTGTGTTTTGAAAAATAAAATTGATGGCCTTCTTAACACACTTGATAAGTTTACCAAAGGAAGAGACAACTTGAATCTTATTTTATAAAATCATAGAGCCTCGTAGAACAAAGCCGATTTAGGTTATAAACCTAACAATAATGTTAAAATTTTCAATAACATATGTCATGCTAATTAGATCTTAAAATTAAAATCTCTTAAATACAATTATTGTGATAAAAATGGTTATGTTGCTTTATTTTGCTTTGTTTATAAAAGTCATGAAAGTAAAAATTATTATCCTCATTCTCATTTCTATAAAGAAAATCATGAACATAAATTGAGAAACATATATACTTCATGTTATTTCTGTAATTATAATTGATGTCTGCAAGCTCGATTTTAAAATTTCTCGTCCACCGATTTTACGCACCGTTGAGATTCAGTTTGATCGGTCTGTCTGTAACTCCGAAAAATTATTCTTGTGACTTTTTAGAAACTGTGCGAGATAAAATGCGTGCTATGCAAAGTAAAAATAATGTCAGATGAATGAAAAATTTTAAAATTAAAATGCCCAAACAAAATCATGACTAAATAACCACGCTTGACTTGAAACCAAAATTCCTGCCCTTGAGTGTACACTGATCCTCTTAAAAAATCATGATGAAGATGACCTTGATATCTAATGTGCCTTGGTAAAGAAGTAAATCAAGATGTTGGGAACTCAACCTTTGTCTCAACTCGAATGCAATAGCCAAATATATCACCTTTGAATAGGGAAAACTCAAATCGCAGGAAAATGCCTTGACCCCATGTCTTTAGGAGCTCAATGAATGCAAGGTTATGACCTAATGGAAAATGAACATGAACGTGAAACACAAGTCAGTTGTGGTTAGAAATAAGAGGGCAAATTTTGGGGTGCAACAGGTACCCATGAACATATCAATAAGCTCTCTCTCCAGCAT